GCAAGGCTTAACATTTTCAAATATGGGGGGTCAGCCATTGTTGCTTTTATGCCAGGTATAAGCTGCTACCTGATCTAATCTGCAATCTCCCTCTTCAAATTGAGTCTATATCCAGACCTCAAGAGTTCAGCATCCAGCCTAGTTGTTTCTGGGGGCAGGGGAGGGTAGGTCTGATCCCTTCCAACCCTATTTGTGTACCATCAAACCTGATGAAGAGTTTGCAGAACTCAAAACCTTGCACATCATTTTGCAACATTTTTGACGGTCCCAATTAAATTATTGCCCAATGGCCTAATTTTTTGGAGGGAGGGAGAGATATTAAAGTTTAAAATCTATTGTTTGTTTTTGGTTTTGATTCAGAAAGCACAGTTCTGGGATATATACAGTCTCTTTGCTAAGGTTGCTACTATCTGATATGAGGCAAATATGGTGGGGGTGGGTACTGATTTGAAACAGTTAACTCTTAAGGAATTCCTTAAGGAAATCAGCCCTGAGTGCTCACTGGAAGGACAGATCCTGAAGCTGAGGCTCCAATACTTTGGCCACCGCATGAGAAGAGAAGAATCCCTGGAAAAGACCCTGATGTTGGGAAAGATGGAGGGCACAAGGAGAAGGGGACGACAGAAGACGAGATGGTTGGACAGTGTTCTCGAAGCTACCAGCATGAGTTGGACCAAACCGCGGGAGGCAGTGGAAGACAGGAGTGCCTTGCGTGCTCTGGTCCATGGAGTCACGAAGAGTCGGACACGACTGAACAACAACAAAATATTTAAATGCTATAAAAAGAGAGAAAACGGGTGTGCTTGTACTTACAAGAAACCCACCATAAAGAGGCCCGCCAATTGTTTGCTTAAACATCAGGGGCACAGTGTGCAATTCACCTCTCCAGGTTCATCCAAATCACTAGGAGGCATGGGGCTCCAGCAGATGATGGCAGTTGTCTCATCTTTGTTAAAGAATTATTGCAGGGTCACCTGTGCTTCAATTTACAACCCTAATTCAGGTCAACAGCCATTTGATAGCCTTTAAGTTTTGTAAGCCAGGATGGGCAAGGATCAAGGAGATAGATGGTTGGTTTCACTCGTCCAAGCAGCCTGTCCACATCCTCGGACGTAACAGATTGGAATTGACCCCACGCAACATGACTAGACAGGACTCTAGCACTCTCCTGCCCCGGCCCTGCTCCCACAGTGGAGTCTACCTCTTCCCAATTCTGAGCGACTTTATCTACAATAAAACTTTGCAAAATCATTGCAGGAGATCATGTGGTTCCACTAAATTGCGAACCACCTGAAAGAGTCTCCTGGTGCTGTTTTCTGCAGATGCAATAGAGGCGATGAAGAAAGTCTTCTTTGCCGTCATTACCACTACTTGGTAGGCTCGACATTGAGCTTTAACGTGTGTCCGGTCAGCTTTAGAATGAGTTATCCGCCACCGGCGCTCTAGCCTTCTCAGCAATTGCTTCATTGCCCTTAGATCTGTGGAAAACCACGGGGCTATCCGGGCTCCATGCAATCAGAGAGGGCACTTCAGAGCCAAACAGTCAATGTTGTTGTTTAGTCATTTAGTCGTGTCCGACTCTTTGTGACCCCATGGACCAGAGCACGCCAGGCACTCCTGTCTTCCACTGCCTCCCGCGGTTTGGTCAAACTCATGCTGGTAGCTTCGAGAACACTCCCCATTCCAGCGGGCCACCAGGGAATCAGCTGAAAGGCCATCAACATGGGATAAAACATCCCCTACCCATCTCTGGAAACCATTTGGATCCATTAAGTGGCGGGGGCAGACCATCCAAATCGGTCCCACCTCCCTGCAGAGGGGAAGGGTCATGGAGAAGTCCAGTTGCACCAGAAAGTGATCTGACCATGGCACTTCTTTAGTTTCGCTTTTACTTAGTGTCAGATCACCAACATCCATAGAGGTAGACACCAGGTCCAAGGCATGTCTGCAGCTATGCGTTGGGCCAGACTTATTCAGGGGCAGCCCCATGGAGGCCATGCTTTCCACGAAGTCCCGAGCAGCCGCTTGTAAGATCGTGTCGGCATGGATGTTAAAATCTCCTAGGACAACCAAAACTATGTGTCTCCAGGAGAACATCCGCCACAACCTGAAGCAGCTCGGGCAGGGAATCCTTGGTGCAGTGGGGAGGTCGGTACTCCAAAAGGAATCCTATACTGCCCCTATTGCCCAACTTCCAGAACATGCAATCAGAGAACTTGGTCTTCCCAACAGGACGCCTGGTGCAAACTAATGACTTCCTAAAATCACTGCAACCCCCCTTTCCTGCCCTCAAGGCCTGGGTTGCTGTGCATAAGAGAAACTTGGTGGACAAGCAGCAGCTTTACCTTTTACTGGGCTTAAACATTTTGAGGAACATGCTTTAGTGGACACCTGGCGCCACCTACAGCATGGAGAGCATAATCACACATTTTCCTCTCCTAGGCATGCTGTTCACACAAGAATCTATTTTATACTGATTTCCTCCAGTCTGGTGTCGAGGGTGGAAATAGCAGAGAGAGGTCCAAGGAGGCATCTGACCACGCCATGCTTAAAGTGCTGCTGTGGAGAGATGATTCACACCCCACACAGACTCTGTTAACTAAATGAGTTCATTGTGAAAGAAAATATATACAGAGGCTTTATTTAAACTTTACATAGGGGACAATATGCACCTGCATTTTAAGCATCTTATTGGCCAGCTTTTATTAGCATCATGGCTTGTAATAGCTGGATACTGAAATTTATTTGAAATTTACCGTATTTTTCCGTGTATAAGACGCACCCATGTATAAGACCCCAAATTTAGATCACCCATTCCCACCACCCGTTCCCACCACCCTTCTCAGTAATACCCCTCCCCACCTTCTCACTATATAGAAGGATCTGGCAACTTCTGTTTCAGTATATCTGAAGAAGTGTGCATACACACGAAAGCTCATACCAAGAACCAACTTAGTTGGTCTTTAAGGTGCTACTGGAAGGAATTTTTTTATTTTGCCCAAATTTAGAAAATGGGCAAATGCACTATCCGTGTATAAAATGCCCCCAGATTTTCAAACTTATTTTAAAGTAAAAAAAAACACCCTAGTCTTATACATGGAATAGTATGGTATATAAGTTGTGACACTGGCCACATGGTATTAAAAAGTCTGGCAATTGGTGCTGATAGAAAAATTAACTACTAAACTAAAAATATCAAGGGGAAATGAAACAAAAAAACACATGTTGGTTGGATTGGCATATCTTTATTAAGTATAGCTCAAAACAGAATGTGGGACATCCTCCACATTTTTTTTTTCCGGTTCCTGTAGTTTTTTGGTTTCACACATTAGTTATATAGGTTCCGCACTCCAAATGGCAATAAACTTCAGGGACGGTGCTTTTCTGGGTTCAGCTCCAACAGGAAGGATAAATCACTGGAGACTGATGGCAGTTGGTAATATTTGGATATATTTACAAAAATACAAGTTGGGCATAGGTGAAAGCAAACAGCATAATATTCCAGCCCACAGCAAATCAACTGCCTCACATCAAATCAAGTATTCCCAAGATATATTTCCCCTGCTTTCGCTCACTCTCGTTTCCATCCTTAAACATATAGCCCTGAATATATTTGAATGGATTATAGAATTATAGGTTTACTTGAGAAGAAGCTTGCTTCATACCTCACCATTTCCCACCAGCCCGATATAAAGTAGCATCTTGAGCCAGGATTCTGTTTTACCCAATTCTTAGTATATTTAACATGCTTTTAGCTGTTATTGATGTTTTAAATATTTTTATTTTTATAGTTTTGCAGCTTTGTTGTTTGTCACCCTAGGGCCTTTGGGAGGAAAGGTAGGATAGAAATTTAATGAATAATTGGAATAAATAGAAACACAAATATCAGCCAACCTCTACAAGGAGGAACCAAGACAATAAAGAAATGCTTTGAACTCTGAAATACTATTGTTATTATTAAAGAATGATACATAAAGATACATTTTTATTGACAGAAGAGTTTTTTTATGTAAGCTACACTGAGGATTGCCTGAAAAGTGTTAATAAAAACCTTAAATAAATCAATGAAAGATAAAAATGCAGAGTAATAGCAACAATACAATCTCAAGAAACAGCAGCATAACAATAAAAGATAAAATAAGTTAAATATTAAAGTAGACCACATCTTTCCAAACTGTGTGTTGCGACACATCAGTGCGTCGGCCACAGTGTGTAGGTGTGTCGTGTGAAAGTTCCCCACGTTCCTCCCGGGGCTGGAAAGGGGTTAGTTTAACCTCTGGTTTGCTAGTAAAACTGAATTACTGTGTTGCGAAATGATGCATGTCTAAAAAGCGTGTCACCAACCTGAAAAGTTTGGAAATCTCTGAAGTAGACTCTTGGAGGCCAGGAGTCCAAAAGCATCTAGAAGGCCACAGGTTCAAAGCCTAATGCTTTCAGAAATAGGTATCTACCTCTGCTGCTTCCCCCAAAATCCTAGTTATAACCTAATATCTGACCTAGTCAGCAGTCTCCCTCTTCACACTGAGTCTATATGCAGAACTCCAGGCTTCAACATCCAGCCTGTTTTGGGGTGGGTTTTCCTCCCAATCCTGCTTTGAGTCTATTTTGTAAGATACAGAGCAAAAGGTGCTTTGGGGAGGAAATGCTAGGAGAGCAGACATCACGTCTTAACTGGCAAACCAGGATTGTTCCAAAGTTGTTAAATGTTTCTACCAAATGGCAAACTAGTATTAGTTGAGGTTATGTTTGCGGTTCATGGATATTGGTGGTTTTGAGGTAATTTAGTGTTTTGTTCCTGTACTCTTTTAAGTACAGGGTGCCCACAACTTATGCACATTTAATTTCAGCTTTATTCAGTATATTCAGCTTTATGGTGTGGCAATAAATAAATAAATTTTAAAAGCAGGTGGAAAGAGGGTAGGGTTCAGGGGGGGATAGCTTTGGTAATCCCACAATGTGCAATTTTGGCTTTATATGTGAACTGTGGTAAGCTACTAGTAATTGTGGATTTACAGTAATTATAAGAGGCAAAGATCAAATCACTTAGCTCAGCCTAGTGCCATCTAGATACAACTTCCACTGGTCTGTCTAGCACAGCTTAGGAGGACTGTCTTGGCTGCTAAGCATATGTGTTTTCAAACTGTTGGGATTTTGATTTCTTGTTGCGACACTGTTCTCAATGGATGGTGACTTGTTTCTTCCTCTGCTGTTATGCTGTTCAGGCCCCGTAGCAACTCAAATGGCCTTTTCAAAGAGAAATCCAAACTGACCAGGAAATGTGCCAAATATCTCGCCCACTTTGCTGTGATCTGGGACCTGGTGGCCAAGAAGTTTCTGAAAAGATCAGGATCGCCATCCAGTTCCAGAAGTCTTTTTATATCCTTCTTAATCTTAGCCAGTGCTGGCTCATTGTCATTGTAAATCTCCAGTAATGTTTTGCCATCTCCCTCTTCTTCCCTCCATAGTTGGCTTCCTTCTTTTCTATCTGCTTCCTCCTTCTGGTTTTCCTCAAGCTTTCTTTGCTGTCTGGCATCTTCCTCACATTGCAAAATCCAGCACAGGCGGCAAGGCCAGCAGTTGGAAAGAACAACCCAGTCTATCAGTTCTTCAATGCTGATTCTTTCCTCATATTTCCAAGGAGCCTTCGATTCCATCTTGGTGATGGACAAGATGGTCAGGACTGTGTTCACCACCCTCTTCAGTTGTGCAGAATTCCCTGGGATGTATTCGTTATTCATCAGGTGCTTACAGATAATTAACTTTTCGCTACAGCTGGGGTCTTCTAAGCCTACCACCGTGATCCTGATGTTGCTTTCTTCGCAAGAGCATGCATGACAATCCACCTTCAGAATCTCATTGACCAGCCTTAATTTGTCCTTGGGAGTCATCTGCGGCAGGGAGAAGGGCAGGGACACAATTCGGTCTAAGTACAAGTAGCCATTCGTGTGTTTCTTTTCTCTTTGAATACATTCCACAAGGATGCTTGGATCAGCAGCCAAGATGGAGATAAATGGGGCATCCTTCTCGGAAAGAAGTATGTTTATGGCATCCAGAACATCCACCACTTTGTCCTGAGTGCACCTGTCCAAATTGATGATCTTCAGGACCACCAGGATCTCTCGCTTCTCTATCCATCCCAGGAACTGGAGGAAATTCGCTATGGTTCCCACTAATTCTTTCACAAAGTGCATGAAACCCAGCTTGGCACTGAGGGTATTTCTGTCAATTTCTGTCTGAAGCTTTTTTTTCAGTGTGAAGTAGAACTTGGTCATTACATGTATGAAAGGAGCGATAAACAGAATAGCCCCTACTAAAGCAGTGGATCCAAAGAGCGACTTTAAATTACCTTCCTTTATCAACATGCTAATTGCTAGTAAAATAAGAATCAAACCTGTTATAACAGGAATGAAGAGCTTCCCCCATCCTTTAAAAACCCATTTCCTTCTCTTAGTTTTTTTCAGAGATTGCCCATCAAGGACCATAAAAATCGTAAAAAGTGCTTTGTTCTTCCCTTCGATTCCGTCAAGCAGCGCTGTAAGAAGGCCAGCCCAGATGTGGTCACATCCCACATACTCCCAGGCATCGAAATGGATGAAGATGTACCGCGTCCCTTTGAGTTCTTCAGAACCAGAAGCAGGGTAACAAAAAATCATACGCCAAATGAGTGAAAGCAGGGAATACTTTCCCCCACTTTTCTCCCCCTCTGTGGGCATGTGGCCTGTAAAAGAAAGTGGGAAGCACAACATTTGTACCAGTCTGTACTCATCATCACAGGTGGGACGAGTCTGCTGCAGTCCACAGTTGCTGGGGGGGGGGGTCAGTCATTTTCTGGTCATCACTTAGGAACATAGGAAACTGCCTTATACTGAATCAGACCATTGGTCTATATAGTAGTAGTATAGTAGTAGTAGTAGTAGTAATAGTAATAATAATAATAATAATAATAATAATAATAATAATAATAATAATAATTTATTTGTACCCCGCCCATCTGGCTGGGTTTCCCCAGCCACTCTGGGCGGCTTCCAACAAAGATTAAAAATACATTAAAATGTCACACACTAAAAACTTCCCTGAAGAGGGCTGCCTTCAGATGTCTTCTAAATGTCAGATAGTTGTTTATCTCTTTGACATCTGATGGGAGGGCGTTCCACAGGGCGGGTGCCACTACTGAGAAGGCCCTCTGCCTGGTTCCCTGTAGCTTTGCTTCTCGCAATGAGGGAACTGCCAGAAAGCCCTCGGCGCTGGACCTCAGTGTCCGGGAAGAACAATGGAAGTGGAGACGCTCCTTCAGGTATACTGGATCGAGGCCATTTAGGGCTTTAAAGCTCAACACCAACACTTTGAATTGTGCTCGGAAACGTACTGGGAGCCAATGTAGATCTTTCAAGACCGGTGTTACGTGGTCTCGGTGGCCGCCCCCAGTTACCAGTCTAGCTGCCGCATTCTGAATATATAGCTCCATATCTACCTGCACTGACAGTCATTAGCTCCCCAGTGGTTTTCTGGCAGGGAATATTCCCAGCCCTAACTGGAGATGCTGGGGATTGAACCTTAATAACAGAAATCTACCGGCTCACAAGCTGGTTTGGAACAGGAGACCACTTCCTCTTTAATCTGTTCTTTTATTTAGTCTGTTTCTAGACTATGTGCTTTAGCAGGGCATCACAAAACTCCGGATACCAGTTTGGTGTGTGGGTATGGAAACACAGCAATGTAAAAGAATGTGGAGTTAGTAGTTAGTTTGTTGGACTGGGACCTGTGAGAAGAAAGTGCAATTCATAGGTCAGCCATGAAGCTCACTGCCTCTCAGCCCAACCCATCTCACAGGTTTGTTGGGATACAAGGCGAACTCCGTGGAGGAAAAATAGGGTATACACATTATTATAAACAAATTACTAGAAGTATGCCTTAAAAATAATTGTGCGTTGAGTACTTAATCTGGCGTTCTCCTGGCCCTGAGCCACTGAGCTTTCCTGATGCAGGATTTCTTTGCAAGAAAGATTCCATGCCTTGCCAATTAACTTCACACCCCTTACCTTCTGCATCTTTCTCTGGGATATTTAAATACAGCTTTGATTATTCTTTTTCGAGTCAATGGTACTTACTTTCAATTTCATCTAAGAGTCTTCTTTTGCTTCTCCCCCATGGTGCGTAGAATCCCATTATCACTGGTGGGTCGATATTTTGCAGAGACTTTGCCAGGGCTTTGCAGTAAACGGCTTCATGGGTTTCAACTGTACAATTATAACCCATTTTACAGGGGGAAAAGAAAGCAAAAAAATTATTATCTTAAAAACCATGTGGTTAGTAGTTGCAGCAAACAAAGGGAGTTTAAGTAGGCATATCCTATGGCAACCATAGGCATGAAATAAAGAGTTCAAGGCAGGCTTGGGTGACAAGGGCTTTGCCCTTTAGCAACCTCAAATTGTGGTACCCACATGAACGACCAGGATCTGAAAAGGATGCTGCAGCAGCAAACTATGTGGGCAGGAGGCAATCCCACCTCATACAACACCTTCCCATCCAATGCACTGAAGCGCAGTGACTGAGACTGAAGTGCATTCAGTGAGCAGTTTTGTACACCCTCTGACTGACCCAAAGGACCAAGCTGTAGACCAGTGGTGTCCAAACTTTTTTCAGATTTGATGAAGTGAAGGGCCGTGGGGGCTGACCAAAGGGCTGACCCAAATTGTTGAGCTTTTCTTAGGATTGAAAAATTGGGTTGGAGTTGTTGAGGTTTTTAAATAAGGAAATAAACTGACCGGCGGGCCAGATTAGGCCCCCGAAACGGACTTTGGACATGCCTGCTGTAGACACCAATAAACACTGTGAGATGCATGTCAGGTGGAACTGTAACCAATGTGGGCCCTAAGGTGGCCTAACATAGGGCTGGAAAGCTCCAAATGTCGAGTCCGCCATATATCCTCGCTAACAAAACCCAAATTGCTAGCAGTAGATTCAGTGCAAAAAAGAAACTTTACCAAACCAGGACACATCATCACCAGCCACATGAAGCCATGATTTGTAATAGCCCCTAAGTGCTATTTAATGAGGAACGGCCCATTATGGTGACCAAACAGTGGACTGGCAGAAGGCTGACTTAATGACACATTTACCCCTGAAAGCACCTGGGCTGCAACAGTAAACCATGACATTTCTGCTATCAATGGAAGAGAAGCAAACTCAACAAAGGTGATCAAAGAGGGCACCATTGACCACTTTTGCACAGAGAGCATAAAGATTTGAAGATGCCAAGAGGGGAACGAAATGGGCAAATATGGCCCCCTGCTCAGTTCCACCCATTCTGTACCAAAATGCAGTAGGACGATTTGTAGGCAACGGCACTCCGGGACCCATTCCTGGAGTGATCAGAAAGGGCCAACACTGCCCTCTGGGTCTGGCAGCTGAGAGGGAAAACTGATGTAATAATAAAGGCACACCTGGATGGTCCCTCATCAGTGCTTGGTGCTCTGGATCACTCATCTTTGTGGCTGGCGAACTTCAGCAGCTGTCAAAAAAATACATAGCGTGAGTGTCTTTGATTGGGCACTGATTTGCTTGGAAGGCTACTTTGAAGATAGTGTGGAAAGTGGTGGGCTGTACACAGTCAATTCACGCTGGGCTGCTGACAAGTCCCACCATCCCTACACATCTCCCCGGTCATCTGCAGGCTCAGTTAAAGGGTGCTGGTTAAAGCCTGGATACTTGAATAACTATCTCTCCAGCATTTATGTGTGTGAGTGTCTGAGGGTGGTTGGAGGATAGGTAAAGGGACCCCTGACCATTAGGTCCAGTCATGGCCGACTCTGGGGTTGCGGCACTCATCTTGCTTTATTGGCCGAGGGAACTGGCGTACAGCTTCTGGGTCATGTGGCCAGCATGATTAAGCTGCTTCTGGCGAACCAGAGCAGTGCAGGGAAACGCCGTTTACCTTCCTGCCAGAGCGGTACCTACTATTTATCTACTTGCACTTTGACGTGCTTTCGAACTGCTAGGTTGGTAGGAGAGCTCACCCCGTCGCGGGGATTCAAACTGCCGACCTTCGGACCGGCAAGTCCTAGGCTCCACAGCACCACCCGCGTCCAAGGTTGGAGGATAGATGGCAGTTAATGGATTGAGGTTGAATCCTGACAAGTACTGTTTTGGGGGGGGATATGGGGCGGGTGGGTGTGGGGGACTCCCTGGTCCTGAATGAGGTAACTATGCCCCTGGGAGTCATTTTGGACTCACAGCTGTAAATGGAGGCACAGGTCAACTCTGGGTCCAGGGCAGCTGTCTACCAGCTCCATCTGGTACACCGGCTGAGAGGCTACCTGCCTGTAGACTTTACTCACTAGAGAGTTACAGATAGGTAGCCGTGTTGGTCTGCCATAGTCAAAACAAAAAAATTCCTTCCAGTAGCACCTTAAAGACCAACTAAGTTAGTTCTTGGTATGAGCTTTCTTGTGCAAGCATCTGAAGAAGTGTGCTTGGTATCTGAAGAAGTGTGCTTGCACACGAAAGCTCATACCAAGAACTAACTTAGTTGGTCTTTAAGGTGCTACTGGAAGGAATTTTTTTGTTCTCACTAGAGAGGTGAGTTATCTCCCACTTTGACTACTGCAATGGGCTCTTTGTGGGGCTACCTTTGAAGATGACTCGGAAATTACAACTAATTCAGAATGCAGCAGCTAGAGTGGTGACTGGGAATGGTCATGCTGGATAGAAGTCCTAGGGTATACTCTGAAGATACAGGAGACCACCACCTTGCTAAAGCTGAGCTGGACAATATAGGACTTCTCAGTGCACATGCTTAGGATGTGCTGCGTTTCTTAAAGATGTGGAAGGTGAACCTAAAATTTACAGATGGTATCTTATTGAAAGAGAATTATATGAAAATGATGTACAGATGGTATATAACACCAGAGAAAGTGATCAAAATGTATAAAAAGGGATCAAAAACCCGTTGGAAATGTAAAGAAAAAGATGGGACATTCTATCATATGTGGTGGGAATGCAAAAAGATTAGAAATTATTGGGAAATGATATATAATGAATTGAAAAAAAATGTTTAAAAAGACTTTTGTTAAGAAACCAGAAGCATTCCTTCTAGGAATTTTAGACCAAGATGTAAAAAAGAAAACTGGAAATTATTTATGTATGCAACAAAAGCGGCAAGAATTTTATTAGCATAAACTTGGAAGACGGAAGAAATACCAATGAAAGAACAATGACAAGGGAAACTTATGGAATATGCAGAACTGGCAAAACTAACAGAAAAATTACATGAAAAGGACAACAAAGACTTTAAAAGAGAATGAGAACCATTTATAACATATATGAAGAGGCAACATAAAGAAATGGACTCATTGGCAGGGTT